AATCACATTCCAACTATGAGCCCAGAACTTTGTATCACAGTATCACACAACTCTATCTTCTGCCCTCCACATCCTTGCCTCTCTGTCCTCACTTTGGCTGCTTTTTCCCCTTTCTCTTACTCTATTCCATCCACACTTGTTGCTTGTGGAACATCTCAATCATGTTCCATGAAGTTCCACTTGCACTCCATGTTCCTTACTAGACTGTTCTCCCTTACATTTCCAAATGATTCATCCTTTCTAGCCTCTGCTCAGATGCTACCTTCTGAATAAGGCCTCATATAACATCACAATAGATGGCTGCAAGCTTGCCCCTCACTCTTGTTACACAACCTACTTTTTAATTTTCTGTCTCATGTTGAAATGTAAACTCAATGAGGGCAAGGATGTCTGTGTTACTTTCAGTTATGTGCTCAACTTTTAGAAGAGTGGTTGTCAAATAGGAGATGTGAATTGTTACATGAATAATTTCATAGAGGAGCAAAAAGAAAGTGACTTGTAGGACCGAATGAGTTTTACTGGGTAGTAAATGTGACTTTTAAAAATGTGACTGTCAAGACCCGGCATGATAAAATAAAACAAAAAAAGGTCAAATGAGCTTTGAGACAGTGATGCTGACAGTGGGTAAAAAAAAAAAAAAACCTAGCTGCAATTACAATCTAGTGTTGTTTCATGATCTCAATGACAAACTAAAGAATACAGAGAAACTCATTTCTAAATTGACACTCAAGAATTATAGAAACAAATTTCTATCCTTAAGAGGATTCTACTTTTCCCACATCAGAGACAAGATCAGAAATCCTCGAGTTCCAGGAAAATCATTGCCAAGTTCCAACTTTATAGGTTATACTGTATTCAACAGGACACATTTTATGAGCCTCCTTTGCCCTTTACAGGAGATCTGGAAAATAATGAAGAGAATCTGTAATACAAGGCACTACTTAAAATTTTTTAAAACTACTTTTGCTATAATAAAGATAATGGCCTAGAAAATGTTTCCTTCAATACAAATAAACAAAAATGTTAACTATCAGTTCTTGTCTAAGTGATGTTTTTGAAGGTATCCCAGTTAAAGAACAAGGTATTGGACCATATTAAACAATGGGCTTTTAATGCATTTCTTGCTGAAATCCATTTTTTACAGCTAGGAGTAGCAAGCAATTGCCAGCAAAGCTGGAATAGAAAAATCAAATACTCTGCATATTTACATATGGTTCCCTGAAGCCATTCCTGATTAAAAATTGTACCATTTCAATCTTCCTTCTGGAGATATCTATTAACTAGAAATGCATGGGAAAGCCAACGAATTTAGTATATAATTACACATATCCTATACAAATTACTTCTCAATGACCTTTACTCATGAAAATAAGCCAAAGGGAGACGATTGGCTCATTATAAATCTATGAGAAGATTTCTCTGGGAAAAGGTATTGAGAGCAAAGTCCTGAAAGAGCTAAAGCTTCAACTGAATTTAATTTCAGCAGAAGGTAATCACTTCTGAATCTAAACTCCCAATGCATATGATGTGAGCTTTTCCAGTGGCAAGCAACACTTTCTAATTGACATGCCCGATCTTGTCACTAAGTAACTACAGGACCTTGGACAAGCTACTTTCCTGCTCCCCTCAGAGGCTAGAACCAGGTGATTTAAAAAGTCTTCTCCAGATCTAAAGGTTCACCATTTCATAATTATAATCACAAGATCACCCCACATCACATGTTTTCTCATGGCAAGGTGTGCACTTAATTTGTCTTTGGACATATATACTATCTAGAACAGCTAACTGAAAACTTCCCTTAGCAATTGCTCAACAAACATGTTTAAGGATATGAAAAACAGTTGAGTTTCTTAAGTTTCCACTCTGTGCAACCCTTTTAATCTGTATTCAACCCTGACCAGGATTTTAACCCAAAGGGCTCTCTTCAGGTCCACCCTTACCATAGTTCTGGAAGGAATATAAGGCCAGAGAACTGAACATCTTGTCTTTTAGAAGAAAGGCATCCACCAGAAAGTTTCCAGGCACCTAATTTGTGTAACATCTGGCCCAAAATCACATAAATAGAGACCAGGAAAAAGGTTCCATTTCATAGAATAAGCTAATTTAATAGATTCTAATGACCTGAGAGTATGTACTAGAAAGTTATAGTAGATGTAGGGGAGAAATGAAGTTCAAAGCAGAAAGATTTAGGGGATTTAGCCTCCGCCTGCCTCGCAAGTGGAAGGACGGGAGTTCAATCCCCGGTACCAAAATAAATAAATAAATAAATAAATAAATAAATAAATGAATGAAAGAAAGAAAGGTGTCAGGACTTTGAAGGAGGACAAATAGATCCCCTTAATCTTTCTGGAAAGTAGACATTTTAAAAACTCAAATCCCAAAGACAGTTCCACCACTTGGATACCAACTCAAAAGGTATACAAGCTTAGATGTTAAGACTCTGAGACCAGAAGGTCTAGGTTTAAATCCTACCTCTGCTAATTACTAACTGTATAACCGTGAAGGAGTTAATCATCCTTCTGTGCCTCAGTTTCCTCATCTGTAAAATGAGAATATTAGTACAGTCATGCAACACTTAACATCAAGCATATGTTCTGAGTAATGTGTTATTGGATATTTATCACCGTGTGAATATCAGAATGTACTTACCCAAACCTAGATGGTACAGGATAGTCACTCAGCATGGCCTCTTGATCCAATCAAGAGACAAGATAAACATCAGATGTATGATGCTACTTTTTACTTAACACAGCAGTGTTTCACAGTAAACTTTTTAAATAAATATAAAGAGTACACTGTAAAATAACAAAAGTATAGTACAGTAAATATATAAACCAATAACACAGTTGTATGCTCACTATCCACTATTATATAATTGTATATGCTATTATTTTATACGGCTGGAAGCACCAGAGGCCTGTTTATACCAGCATCACCAAAATTCATAGTAATTCATAGTTCTACGATATTAAAAAGCCATTAGGCAATAGAAATTTTTTAGCTCCATTATAGTCTTATGGAACTACCAACAGTATATGCAGTACCTCACTGACCAAAATATCATTATGCAGAGCACAACTATTCTTCATTATTACTTCACTCATTGAGTTGTTGTGAAAAAGATAAAATGAGTTAACAGGTAAAGTGCTTATAATTGAGTGCTTCCCATATAGTAGGTACTCAAACAACAGGAGCTCCCAGTACTATCCTTATTATTATAATTCTGGGAATCTTAGAGGTTAAGAAAACAAAGGAATTACATTGCTCTTACAGATTTGAATTCTGTAGTTCCTTCTTTCAGGTGATGACTGCAAGCATAAACATATTTATATTTAGATATAATTTATAATTGAATATTTTATCAGTCTTGACTACTCTCAACTATAGAAGCTATTGTCAAAAATTTAAATTCCTTTCTGAAAGATATTCTAGATTTCAAAATCAATTTGATCACCCACGTGAAAGGAGTACAATAGAACTATTAAACTGCTGGACTGAGAAGAAATGGGAGTACAAAGACACCTTTGTGGCAGTTCGTGCTATCACATGCCACTACTAGAGTTTCTAAAAGCGGCCTCCATAAGAAAGTAACAAACTCAATTGTTCCTTCACTTCAGAGTTCTTGGATGTGATAGTTCTTAAATCCCTGGTAAAGCTTTACTAAAGATCAGAGGATCTCAGTTCATTCCATTAGGACAGCATTGAATCTCTTCAAGGGATTTTCTTGGGTCAGTGTTACTTATGTGAGAGGCCAGGGATACTGGTGAAATTTCCAAGCTCTAAACTAGCACGTTGTTTTGAACTGAAAATATAAAGTAAAGACACTAGTTATCCTGGAGAAAAGTTTGAGACTAAGAAATTTAACAGTACCATGAAATATTTTCTCTAATATCTCTTTTCAAAAAACAATTAACTTTATTAAACAAAAAACACTAAAAGTAACAATAAAAATCCAATTAAAAAAAACTAGAGCAGTCCAAAAATAATGACCTGGATGGACATCTAAAACTCCAGTTTTTCAAATATCTATCAATAAAACAGAAGAGTTAATACCATATCTTATATTCCTCTGTCAAATAATCAGACAAAGAAGAAAGTGATGGCCAGGCTGGCCTTTAAATATCTGAGTGCCTTTTGTGTAATCCTGTTCTGAGGAATTATGGAAACCCTAAACCAGTGGTGGCACACATGCCACAGCAGGCTGTTTGTATCACTGAAAGCTCTAAAAGGTTCGCCAACCCTGCAAACACACGGAAACTGAACAACAGAAGAAGGAAAACTTAGGTAGGCCATGAAAGATTGGCCTATAATCTGTATTCTAAAGCAGTAAGATTTTAGAAAAAGAAGATCAAGTTTGCCACAGCGACCCTATGCCATCTAAAACTGCAGAACTATGCAGAGGGCTAGAGAGTTTTGTGGAAAAAGAGGAATGTCTGCTTATAAAAATCACCTCAACTGCTTCTGGTAAGGAAGGATATAGTGGTAAATAAGATATGAAACCAAGAACAAGTCCATACTTGACAAATAACGCCCATCAAGATAGTGATGTCAACCATAATAAAATATTTTGGCAAGACAAGAAATGTGCACCTGTGAGAACCTGGAAAGATTTGACAGATTTCTGTTTTCCTGGCCCTTGATCAGCAAGTTAATTATAGCAACTGTACAATCTACTCTGAGCTTTAGAGAAAGGCAGTTGGCTCTATGAATCCAAGATGCTGCTCTCCTGAGCATGGGAAAGACAAAGTGACCGTAGTGCTTGTATGCAAAAATATACTGAGTGCAGTATAGCAATGAGCCAGATAGCATAGCTAGATGAGAAAGAGATATATTCTGCAGACACATAAGTGAGACATGCCTCAAAAAGACACACAACACACAAATACACACACACACACACACACACACAGGCATATGTATTTGTTTTGTTTGGTTTTAAAGAGTTTAAACAACTCTGGTCATATTACAATTAGGGCTGCTTTTCCCTGAGCAGACTGTACCTTCACAGCTATAATTGTACACTGCCACCGCTGACCTGTCCACCAGGTTTTCATCATGGTGCCAGCTCACTGCCAATTTCCCCATGCCAAAGTAAGGCTCCTCTTTCAAATATGGCATCTTCTGAGGATCCATGAAATTCAGCAAAGTTACATTGTAGGCTGCTCTGCTCTTCATGTCCACTTCATCACTGGATGAACCCATCCCAACACTAGGGAACTCAGACATACACACTGGCACAGCATCTTCATTGGCCTTCTCTTTGACAGCAAGTTCTTCCAAAGCCTGGGTGGTTTCTATCTGCAGATAGTCATTGAGCTTAAGGAAGGTCTGACAAGCAGCAGCAATCTCAGCCTCGGTGTAGCTTACATTAGAACCCTTAACAGGCCAGGGTACCGTAAAGAGCCTGGTGTTCAGGTACTTGTAGGTGCAGCCAGGATTCCCAATGAGGATTCGAGACACTGGAGTGAGCAAATCTTTGCCTTGGATCCTCACCAGGTCCCGAAATAAGCAGCCATGCTTGTGCAGTGTGAGAAAGGCTTCCTGAACCTCTTTATGGAGTTCCTCAGACACACTGCCTGCTTCTCGGAGAACCAGCTTAGGATATTTCAGCTGCCACTGAAACAAAACCAAAGCAAAAATGGTAAATTTTATGGCTAGCAGACAGAAATAAGGTTCTTGCCTTCACATAGCTTTCTACCAAATCAAGTCAATAAATAAGGGGAAAAAAACCAAATTGTGTTAGGTATTAGGACAGAAACAAACCAGCAGGAAACCTGCCATAAGGATAGGAGGGAATCTCTTCAGAGATGACATTTAAGATGAGATCTTCAGAAAAAGAAGGAACTAGCCATGTGACAAACTTCAAAAAGAGATACAGGAAGGCAGACCAAAAATGTGAAGGCACTGAAGAAAATTATCTGCCAGTTCTAAGGCCAAAAAGAAAGCCAGTTTTACTAAAGTATATGGGCCAAAGGGAAAATCATATGTGATGAGGATAAAGAGGCAGGCAGAGGCAGAACACACACAGCCTTGAAAGTCACATTAAGAAATCTCTCGGTACACTTGAGGAGTTTCAAGGGGAGAAGAATATTTGATTTATATTTTACAAAAATCACTTTTAGTTATTATATAAAGCATGGATTGGAAAGAGGCAAATGACAATGTAGAAAATCCTACAAGGTTCTATTTAACCATCCATGATAATAATATTGAGAGTCTGGATTAAGGTGGAAGCACTGATATAATGTGTATTTTATAGGGAGGAGACGTAGTTATGGATTGGATGTGAGAAGTAAACAAAGAAGTTAAGAATGACTTCCAGATTTGTGGATTCAATAACTGAACTACTTTTTTTGAAATAAATAAGACTGAGACAAAAAGTAGGGACAAGAATAGGAGGAATGAAAAGTTTCATTTTGGAGCTGTCACCATTAAGCTATCTACCTATGAAATCTCAGGAAGGGGAACTGGATATACACAGAGCCCAGAGGAGAAGGTGGGGCCAGGAGCTCACTATGGGAACCATCAGCTGATTCATAAAGGCCTAGAAATGGATGAATCACCAAGGGAAACAGTCAAAATACAAAAGAGGGACCAACATTATTTCCAGAGTTGTAAAAGGTTCAGCACAAGACCAATTAGAAAACCAGAAGAATGTATCAAAGCAGAAGCCACATGAAAAGACTATTTCAAGAAGAATGCAGTAGTCAGTTATATCTACTGAGATGAGGTTAAGTGAGATGAGGACAGAAATCACCCATTTGATTCAGCAAGATGCAATTCACTGATGACAGTGACAAGGCACTTTCAGCAAAGTACTATGGATAGAAGTTAGATTAGAGTAGGATCAAGAGGAAGAAGTGAAGATGCCATGAACAGATGTCTTTCAGTGTTTTTGCTATGACAGGGAATACAAAAACAGAGCTAAGGATAAAGGGGAATGCTACATCAAGGGTCCATCTTTAATAGTGGAAGACTCTAGTGTACAATACAGCTTGTCAATATGATAAACAAGAGGAAGAGCCTGGTGATGCAGAAGAGAGGGTAAATAACTGAAGGACCTAAGCTCAAAAGTATCTAGAGGAGCAATCTGCCATGTGGGTCATGCAGGGATTTGCTATTAAAATTCAGAGAAAGGGAAGGGAATAAATAATAAAACTTGTTGTTTTGTGGGGTTTTCATCTAAGATGGGTTTTTCAAGATCTCCTAAAAATATATATGCATATACATATATGATTAGTATAAGTAACATCATAAAAAAGACTCTGCAGGAGTTTCTTCACACCCACTCTTGACAGCCTTCTGTGTACATGTTTCCCAGTTACTCATTCAGTTACACCATGCTGATACCTTGAAACTGGCCACAGTGATAGTGTTCAGACTACAAAAATCAGAAAACACTAAAAAGCAAAGCTTTTTTTTTTCCCCCACAGACAGTCAGTTGGTAAACATTTAGTGGGACACCACTGCGTGTGTTCAAAATTTGTTACTGACACAAAAATGCAATCCAAACATTTGGATATAAGAAAAGATACTTTCTATATTGCAATAGGCTAAAAAGATATAAATTCAGGCAGGATGGTTAACTTGACAATTGTAACATGAATAACTTCCATGAGTTTTGGTTTTGTTTTGTTTTGGTGTGGCTTTATCGTTGTGTTGTTTTGGTGACTGGAGAGCACTTTAGTTTTCTCAATGAAATACAAATGGATCTCTAGCTGTGAGTGTGTTTTAGTCATCAAAGCTGTTTGCCAAATAGTTGCAGAATCTTTCGCTACCACCAGATATTTGGGCACAATGTAGAATTTCACTTCCTGGCCCACCCATGATGGATGAGGCACGTGATTGCTTCTGTACAATGAGAGATGATGGCTGTCACTGCCAGCCTGGTGCATTTCATTGCCAGGCCAAGACCCTCCAGAACACCTTTTCCTTTTGGCACAGTACCATCTAGTAGCTGCTCTTGGATCCTTGAATTACATTAATGAGCAGTACCTCTCTGCCAACCCACAAATGATATGCAAAGTGAGCAAGAAATACTGGTGTGCAAAGCCACTGAGATTTGAGGATTGTTTATTACTACAGCATAATCTAGCCTATTCTGCTTTCTCCACGTACAAGAAACAAAAGGCCATTAGGAAATTGGAAGACGTGCAAAGAAAAATGAAGTAGTTAAGTCTGAATGTGGAAAATGACTTCGCTAAGTAAGCATAGTAGGAGTGCCCTGCTTTTCACAGTGCTGACATGTGTGTTCAAGAATTGAAAATGAAAAGATCAGAGACATGTGGCATACCATTATGGACTGTCATTGAGACTGTCAGGGATCCATTAGGATTTATAGTTTCTAGACTTCATTTATCCCAAATGGCAAACAAAACAGTGATATCATACTTTCTATTTACACAGTCAATGAAGAGACCAATACAATGGTGTAAGCAGAGACTGAACATTCTGGAGCCATGAGCAGTAACTCTAATTTTATCACTAACTGGCATTTCCTGAGCAAGTCCCTGAGGCATCAGTAAACTCATACACCTAATTAGCAGCAGTGATTAAGAAGGAAATTCCTTCATATTTTCTTAACAATGCCAGTTTTCTTTGAAAGGTCCTAAGTACAGAATATTAAAGGAAGTTATATAATTTCTAAAAACTTTATTTTTCAACACATTCCCTCTAGGACTGAGAAAGAGGAGAACACCAAAAATAATGTGTGCACATTCACACACACACCCACCCACCCACACACACACACACACAACTTGCTGCTCTGTTCAATACACATAGATGCTAGACTACAGAAGACATACTTAACCCAGCCAAATATAACCCTAACAATCTAGACAATCCACACAACCATATGAATATTACACACAAATACTTTGATGTTTAAAGCAGCATAATAACGAGAAAATAATAATAATAACATAGGAAACTTTTAAAAACATTTTTCCACTGATCTCTCATGTCCCTTTCCCCTAACAACATCTTCTTCTTTTCCCACAGTCCTCCAGGGCGACACTTCAGTGCCTCCCCTGCAAAGCCAGCTCTTTTCCCTGTCCCACACCTGACTGGTCCTTCCTAGTCTCCAAGTCTCTTTCACAAAGTGTCACTTTCTCAAGAAAACCTTCCCTGAAGTGCCATTGCCAAGCAGGTATCCCTCCATTATCATTCATCACACACTTCATTTTTCTGTTATAGTACTTACCAGTTAGTAACTATATATTTATTTGAAATATTATTTAATAATTTGTCCTGCATGACCACAAGCTTCTAGAAGAAAGTGGTGGCAATCTCATACCCCATTATATCGCAAGCACGTGGTTTACTGTAACTGATCAAAATTCTTAAGAATAAAAGAGTATCACAGCTATTTGGGAAGCTGAGACAGGGAGGATCATTTGAGCCTACAAGTTCAAGAACAGCCAGGGCAACACAGTATGACCCCATCTCCAAAAAATAAAGAATGAAAAGCTTACAGATAGCAGATTAGTGGATGCCTGGGCTGCAGACAGAAAAGAAGACAGTACAAAGAGACATGAAGGGTCTTTCTGAGATGCTGAAAACATTCTAAAACAATAGGGGAGGGGAAGAGGATGAAAACAGAATTTAAGATGTGTTATGTACATGTACCAACTATCCATGAGGAATTTAATCATTATGTACTGCAAATATGTACGAATAATTAAAGAACTTTAAAAATTGAAAAAAACACTATAATGATGGTTGCACAGCTATACATTGAACTGTGCAATATTAAGAGGTCTATTTTACATTATATAAATTATACATACATGTATATAGTTTATTAATACTTTTTAAAAGGAAGATTGAGAAATCTGAATATATAAAATTTAAATTTTTGTATAATATGAATCATAAGCAAAATTAAAAGGCAAACACTAACTGGAAAAAAGTATTTGCAACCTATATGGCAAAAATGGACTTAACAGTCTTAATGCTGAGCCATTATAAACTTAAATATATATAAAAACTATACATATACACATATAAGTATGTACACAATGGAAAAATTCACAAGTAAATTTAACAAAGAAGTCTCTTAAAATATAGGAAAAAATATACTAGAGTAAGAAAAAATACAAATTAATATAATCTGTATTAATTTATACTTAATTATTGGCTATCAAATCTGCAAAAAAGAAAATTCCATAGTAGTAATTTACATTATTGATGAGAGTAAAGTTAAGTGTTTTGATAGTGTATAATTAGAAATGGAAAATATTACCACCTCACTTAAAGCCAACTGGGCAAGATTACATATTCAGAAGCTGAATATATACATTTATCTTTTTATCCAGTTATTCTATTTCTAAGAATTTATTATAAAGAAGTAATCAGACATACACAGAGTTATGACTGTTCAAATAATTTTATTTGTAATAATTAAAACTGAAAACCAGCAAATGTCCAAAAGGGGATTACAGGGAAAATATAGAATATCTATGTAAAGAAATACTAAAGTAACAAATTTTAGGATTTTTATACTGTTTGATGAAAAAAAGAAGCAAAAATCTATGGTTAAATGTGAAATTAGTAACAAGATAATTAGACAAGAGGATTCTGGTTTCATAAAAGGAAAAAGAAATGTGTATATA